TAAGAGTTTCTGACCGAAGTCTCAATGTAAGTCATTAATGTGAATTTGTGTGTTTAATGTGCTTGTCAGGAATAAGGGTGAGTGACGACATGCTGAATCTGACTGCTCTGCGCTACGGCGCCTCCTCTGGACACATGACGCTGGAGAGCTTCATCAGTCTCATCCTTCGCTTTGACTGCATGAACAGTAAGTGAAGACAAGTGGTACAAGCTATGATCTGTTTATTTCTGTTTGCGATTTATCTGAAGTAAGTCAATCAAAAAATACAACCTCACAATGGAAAACTTTAACCTTTTTGTTGTGGAAGACATTAATTTTATACGTATCTTTTAAGAGATTCAATAAATTTTTGCTCATCAACAGAAATCTTCAGACAGTTATCTGATGGAAAAGCCATGACTCTTCAAGAGTCTGAGGTAATAAAGCCAGCTTGTTCTCATTAGTACATTTTATAACACATGTTGATTCATTTTGAAGTTCAGAGAAAAGAAAAATACATTATTTTTAAAACTGAAAATAAATTTATATACTATTCATAAATTATTTTACACGAAAGGAAACAGTTGCATACTCCTTGTGCATACCTTGAGCTACTTTGTGACCAAGTAGGGCATGTCCGGGATTTTAAAACACGTTGGTAAGGTTAGACAGTTAGCAACTGTTAATGTGTTAAGGGCAAACTTAGATTGGCATTTGCTAAAAGTTCAACTGATTTCACTTATATCCCTCAAGTACAGCTTTTTTGAATGTTGTTATGATTAAAGTTTTTGAGAGTTACAAATATAGCCATCAAAGAGGGATGAAAGATACTGAGCCTTTTATCTTGGCCAGCTTTTATAGTTCAGCAGTCCGAGGAGAGCTATGTCAGTTGAAGACTCTCCCATGTCAGCCAGTGATCAAGAAGAGTAGGCCAGGATGTCCTTGGAGATAGGTGGAGGGGCTGCACATACTGCACTAACAACCTGTCTCTCTTTATTTCCAGTGGATGTACATTTCGATGTACACTTAACGCAAAGGAATGGACGTTTGATGCACAGTTCATCTGCACGCACTGAAGAAGAGATCCATGTATATTTTTCCTGCTAAGTTCTAAGTTGTCGTTTAGATAATTGCCAAAATGCAAAATGCTTTCAAGATAACTTTTCTCAAAAAGTAGACATTTCTATTTTTAATTGTCATTTACTTGGCAATTTGTTTTTTACTGAGACAGACAGAGAAGACAGAAACTTATTGTAGAGGGAACAATCTGAGATATATAACGTGAATATAAATAATCAATGAAAATTAAATACTACAAGAATGTGCTTGCATGTAAAAGGCGGCTCTGAATTAGTAACTGTTCTAACAGAGAAACAGGGAAAAGGCTATAAAGGATGTTTTTTCCTTGTGCACTTTGAGCTCATTAAACACACATAGATTACTGTATGTGAGGGTGCAATGTTTGGCCATGATGCTTTATTGATTAATTCATCACTCATTATTGACACAACAGTGCAAGAAAGCACCAGTGTGGTTGGAATCAATATACTGTTGAAATGATTTTATATTGTTATTCAAATGCAGCTCTTTTTGATAAATGCATTATGCACATATGTATCTGGCTTTTTCTTATTTTCCCACTGTCAACTCCTCATTTCAGGTTCAGGTTACTTTTTACATATAAGGCTCAATCATTTGGAAAGCATTCAGGGCCATTATCAAAAACACTCAAAATCACTGGAAAATTTTCATGTAAATACATTTAAATAAAGAAAAAAGAAGAAGAAGAAGAAGAAGAAGAAGAAGAAGAAGAAGAAGAAGAAGAAGAAGTTTAGCAAATGAACCATGAATTCAAATTCTGGCACCAGAATCTGGAAGGTATTCATTGATTCAGCTTCAGCTCAGTGTTTGTAAACTGTAAGGGTATGTAGTAGAGGAAAAGCACCTAGGTATAGAGGCTAGCTCATCAAGCATCATGGGAAGTGGCACACTTCAACTCTTGATCGTGGCTCAAGAGTTGGGAGTTCGCCTTGTAATCGGAAGGTTGCCGGTTCGAGCCCCGGCTTGGACAGTCTCGGTCGTTGTGTGCTTTGGCAAGACACTTCACCCGTTGCCTACTGGTGATGGTCAGAGGGCCCGGTGGCGCCAGTGTCCGGCAGCCTCGCCTCTGTCAGTGCGCCCCAGTGTGGCTGTGGCTGCAATGTACAGTGGGGCAAAAAAGTATTTAGTCAGCCACCGATTGTGCAAGTTCCCCCACTTAAAATGATTACAGAGGTCAGTAATTTGCACCAGAGGTACACTTCAACTGTGAGAGACAGAATGTGAAAAAAAAATCCATGAATTCACATGGTAGGATTTGTAAAGAATTTATTCGTAAATCAGGGTGGAAAATAAGTATTTGGTCACCTCAAACAAGGAAAATCTCTGGCTCTCACAGACCTGTAACGTCTTCTGTAAGAAGCTTTTCTGTCCCCCACTCGTTACCTGTATGAATGGCACCTGTTTGAACTCATCATCTGTATAAAAGACACCTGTCCACAGCCTCAAACAGTCAGACTCCAAACTCCGCCATGGCCAAGACCAAAGAGCTTTCGAAGGACACCAGGAAAAGTATTGTAGACCTGCACCAGACTGGGAAGAGTGAATCTACAATAGGCAAGCAGCTTGGTGTGAAAAAATCAACTGTGGGAGCAATCATCAGAAAATGGAAGACATACAAGACCACTGATAATCTCCCTCGATCTGGGGCTCCACGCAAGATCTCATCCCGTGGGGTCAAAATGATCATGAGAATGGTGAGCAAAGATCCCAGAACCACACGGGGGGACCTGGTGAATGACCTGCAGAGAGCTGGGACCAAAGTAACAAAGGTCACCATCAGTAACACACTACAACGGCAGGGAATCAAATCCCGCAGTGCCAGACGTGTTCCGCTGCTGAAGCCAGTGCATGTCCAGGCCCGTCTGAAGTTTGCCAGAGAGCACATGGATGATACAGCAGAGGATTGGGAGAATGTCATGTGGTCAGATGAAACCAAAGTAGAACTTTTTGGTATAAACTCAACTCGTCGTGTTTGGAGGAAGAAGAATACTGAGTTGCATCCCAAGAACACCATACCTACTGTGAAGCATGGGGGTGGAAACATCATGCTATGGGGCTGTTTTTCTGCCAAGGGGACAGGACGACTGATCCGTGTTAAGGACAGAATGAATGGGGCCATGTATCGTGAGATTTTGAGCCAAAACCTCCTTCCATCAGTGAGAACTTTGAAGATGAAACGAGGCTGGGTCTTCCAACATGACAATGATCCAAAACACACCGCCCGGGCAACAAAGGAGTGGCTCCGTAAGAAGCATTTGAAAGTCCTGGAGTGGCCTAGCCAGTCTCCAGACCTCAACCCCATAGAAAATCTGTGGCGGGAGTTGAAAGTCCGTGTTGCTCGGCGACAGCCCCAAAACATCACTGCTCTCGAGAAGATCTGCATGGAGGAATGGGCCAAAATACCAGCTACTGTGTGTGCAAACCTGGTAAAGACCTATAGTAAACGTTTGACCTCTGTTATTGCCAACAAAGGTTATGTTACAAAGTATTGAGTTGTATTTTTGTTATTGACCAAATACTTATTTTCCACCCTGATTTACGAATAAATTCTTTACAAATCCTACCATGTGGATTCATGGATTTTTTTTTCACATTCTGTCTCTCACAGTTGAAGTGTACCTCTGGTGCAAATTACTGACCTCTGTCATCATTTTAGGTGGGGGAACTTGCACAATCGGTGGCTGACTAAATACTTTTTTGCCCCACTGTATTCATACTGTTGCATTCGTAGAACTGCTTGGTAGCGATCCTGTTGTGATTTATTACTACGGTATTACTGAAGGTCACTCTCCACACCAACAAATACAGATTTACCATA